CTCAACAACAACGGGTTGGCTCAACAACAACGGGTTGGCTCAACAACGGGTTGGTCCAACAACGGGTTGGTCCAACAACGGGTTGGTCCAACAACGGGTTGCTCCAAAAACGGGTTGCTCCAACAACGGGTTGCTCCAACAACGGGTTGGTCCAACAACGGGTTGGTCCAACAACGGGTTGGTCCAACAACGGGTTGGTCCAACAACGGGTTGGTCCAAAAACGGGTTGGTCCAACAACGGGTTGGTCCAACAACAGGTTGGTCCAACAACAGGTTGGTTCAACAACAGGTTGGTTCAACAACAGGTTGGTTCAAAAACAGGTTGGTTCAACAGGTTGACTGGACTGCACAGTGCAGTGTGAATGCAAACGCACCAGCTCAAATGTAACAATATGTCATGAATATTGGTCCAGAACCGAACATACCCGACTGTCTGGTGTGAAAACGACCTTAGGCTGCCAACGTCCTGAGCTGAGGCTGCTCATGGCCAAATCCCACTAACACCACGGTGCAGTTAACACAACTCAACTGTCACTTGGTAAACCAGTTCCCACAGAAGACCAGAGTTCTTTAGGAGCTGCGCAGTTAAATCAAGCTATGGCTCCCGCCCACAAACAACTTGAAACAGCGGAAAAAGATAAAACGGCGCTAGCAAATAAGCTCACGACAATATTTACGGTTACACGTGACTCTCAAAACAATAAACTACAATTGACTGAGATTTTGATAAAATTCGTTCAGAAAAATCAACTTACCGAACAAAGTAGTAGCGTGCATGCAACCCCGTTTGAACAACACCGCGCTGCCTTCTTCTTCCCATGATTCAATGCGCGCGAGACGAAATCCCGTGCGGTGTCGCGAGATTGAACATGATCCAGTTTGAGTCACTTGTCAGATGATACGAACAAATTCATGTACCCTCTCTGCATATTATGTAGTTTCTACACAATACAATTACATTTAAGTTTAAAACATGGGGCAGTTGTGTTAACTACATTCAAACTGATTTCATAAATCCAAGAGATAGTACAAAAAAGTTACTAAAGTACAATTTGTAAAGTACAATTTGTAACATTAGTAACATTAACTACAGGAGAAGAAGCATTTTCTCACTGCAAGATGTTCTCAGCTTGAAGTCTGTGCCGGCTGAAGGTGCCAATGGACCGTGCACCTTCTCATCAGCTGTTGCCCTCCCAGACCCCTGAAGCAGTCACAGTGATGTTCTGCTACCTTGGGCAGTTCCTGGCACGTCCTCCTTGTGGTGTCCTGGTCTGATCCACCAGCAGAACCCCAGAAGATGAGTGACCTGGTGTCCCTGACCCAGTACGGAGCTGAGACCTGGTGACATGATGCCTTGGTCTGGTTATGCCATTTTATCTGATGCATCTTGATAAATCATTTTGTGGCTTGCAGTGACGATAAATGACTTTATCTGATCACATTAAATAAATTCTTTTAACCAAAATCCAAACTATTTATTAAAATAGTCAAACTGTCTACATTTGTGCACAAACTAAACCAAAATAATATCTGCTCAAAGAGTTAATTTTGTCTAAAATAAGATAATTAAGCAGTGATTGATTAATTGTTATTGTTTATTAATTATTGTTGTCGAGTCTTAGTTTGATTATTTTGTAATAAAATTTCAAAGACAACTTTAGTCTCTTCATTTTGACAAATATTCATCTGTTATGATTAGAGCTCCGTGGAATTATCAGAATCTACTTCAGTGACTGATTCTGATTATTAAAGTGTGAATATATTAATTAAATTGTTGTTGGTCAATAAACTGACCAGCTGGTGCTTTAACGAGAACTAAATAAATAAAAACAAATGTAGTGAAGAAAGTGTCACCCTTCTTCCTCCATCTCACTCTGTTATTGATACACAGTCATATTTGTTCATAACTTTATTAGTAAGGCTGAGAGTTACCGGATCCAAGCAGTTCCTGGAACGCACCCTGTCAAAATAAGAGTTCCCAGATCCTGTTCCGGCTCAAATTAAACATCGATTATGTCTAAACAGGGTCCTTCAGGAAAGACCACAATTTTACTCTGACTCAGCCATTTTTTTCTGTATTTTATTTCTGGGTCTATTTTGTCAGATTTTGTTAACGTCCTACACCACTGGAGGTCTTTCCTTCCATACTCTCAGGACGGTGTTCATCACCTCCCCACCTCAGAAGTTCTTTTAACTTCCACACTCAGGATCATAGATCTTTCCTCTCAGACTCAAAGTTCCTACTCTCAGGAGTTCATCACCTCCCTACATTAAAAAGTGATCCGATTGCTTCTGACAAGTTCCCTGAACCTGGTTTAGTTTTGAGCACCTCCTCAAGTCCCCATTAGTGATGTACAATCTTAATAACACACAACTTTCTCACAGTTGTGCCAATATGAGTGATTCTGGTGATAATTAGTAAAACTTCAGCATTTCAGAGACGGTCTGAGGATCAAGTGCAGTAAGTCGGTCCTCAGGGTGGTGTCAGTCCCTCTGCTGATGGAGGGGCAGCCTGTCAGGGTGGTGTCAGTCCCTCTGCTGACGGAGG